CTCACACCAGGTCTTAGTTTGCCAGCCATTGATCTTTTTCCACCAGCCGCCTGCCTCAACAAACATCGAGCACCGTGACAACCTATTCCATGACATGTGCAACGCATATCCCAACCAGCGTAGTCTATGGAGGTCGACCACGACCGCAATTACCTAAAACTCTGCGCTTCGCCTCCGCATTGCTTGTCCGGTTTCCCACCAGTCGTGTAATGCGACGTAGACAGCGGACACCGTCAATCTATTTTTATCCCGTTCCCTTAGTAGCCAAGTCTCTGCACCGTATAGCAGAACTGACCGAACTACTGCAGCATATACCCGACCTTTCACAGAAAGACGGATGCCGCGACGACGCCACAGATGTCTCAAGTTGGCGAATGACAATCTAGCCATTCGTATGCGTGCCGACATTTTATCTGTCATGCGTCAACCATGTGAAATACAGCTACCCAAACAACCAGATTCGTTTACTTCCCCAGTTAGGGTGAGGCTGGGCCATAGTGGGCAGTAAAACACGAGTACTGATAAATAGGACTTAGATGAGTAACCCTAACTAACTGGACATAGTTGATGAACAAAATCCATTTTGTTTCTGTATTCTCACAAATCCCTGACGCTACATTTTCGTCCTCCAGTTTAAGCTGATTTATCCTACCTATTCAGCATCTATTCGATCTACCAAAACAAAGAGCAACAGGAATTTAAAAAAGAGCGAGCGAACATTATCTGGGAAACGGCACAGAACATGAGCAGCGGTTATTCGACCGGTTCTACTCAATGGCAGTGGTTTAAGGGTAATCCCATTCGTGTGCTTCGAACCCCCGGGGGTTGACGACGTGCGAACCCTGTCGCCGTCACCCAACGGTGACGGTGGGCAGCTTTACTGTCGTCCGACTTCTCAGTGTCAAACCAATTCTAGCATGACCTTGCGTGATTCGATAGTTTAGGGCGACCAATTCCAATGAACGAACAGTAGAGTATTGTGACTGTGAGGTTTACCCTATTTGTCGTTCATCACACACACACACACACACCGGTATAGCACAAAAGACTAGCCCGTTACATGGTGCACCCGAGGAACACAGGTTGTTGTCATTGGTCGAACACCACTACGTTGAGGGGCCGCAAGTCTGACGGAATGACTCAACACAATACCCAGATTAGAAGAAAATGTGCAAAATGGACGAGCAGTGCTCACGAAAAAACAACAACAGTCGATGCACTAACAACAGGACTAAAAATCAGGCTTATTTTGAAGACAGAAGATAGCAATAGCGGACGGGTTTGATGCATGGATGGGTTAGATAAATGCGGCTTGAAACCTCGAGTGCGGTGGTAGCCCATATTGTGTGGTAAAGATCAGATAGGACGTGACTGTTCAATCACGTGTGGAAATTGCCCCAGGAATAGAAAAAAAACTTTAAATACACCACCCGCTCTGTGTCCCTGGTGGATTCATCGACCAATAAGTGAAGACAAGTGCTGCAAACTCGGCTGATTTGGTGAAAACGAACTTCACTCCCTCACGTGTTTGGGGTAGGACATTAGCTGGGGGGGGGATAAAAAAAGCGAGTCTGCATCGCTCGTGACGT